AAAACCAGAAGAATGTATCAACAGCACGAACTGTTGAGATTTGAGAAGCACAAAAGGGGGAAAAAGTATAAATTTTTGCTACGGTTTATGCAATTAAATACGGATTTAGCAGTGTTATAAGCAAAAGGGTTTAACGATAATCGAAGCCTGTGCCTGTGGGTGAGGATGGATATTATTAATATGATATTCATCGCTTTAGTTTCCACTTTCCTGTTTTCTTGCTTTTTATTTACAATTCTTTAGTGTGGGCCTCCGGTCAGGTTGTTGCCGGAACTACTCGAGTATCGTTTTGCCCCGTCGGAATCTCTTTGGGCCACGTCGGATAACGGTGCTTTTCGCCGTCAGTGCCTTGTCGATGACAAGTTTGACTGAATAATAAATGCGACACCTCTTTTTATAGCTTTGAATATACGAAATTACTAAACAGCCCTCGTCCCCATGATTTTTCTCACTCACTAGTCACTACATAAGTTTTTCTATAGCCATAGCCGGATTTGGGTGTTTTGGTGGAAAAGACGGTGGATTTCGGCCCTCAGGTTATGTTCTTTGATGGTTCCGACCTTAAATGATGAATTTGACGCGTCGGTCTCGAACTCGGTTAATTGGTAGTCATTTTAGAATTGTGGATTACACGGAACCGTCGTCTCGTCTGTTCGTTGGCTCGTGTGGTGGATACGATGGTGTAGCTTACCGAAAGCCAAGTGGGGCTTTGGTCTATAGTTATTTGTGTTGTTTGTTGTTGCGTTGTTGTTTTGTTGTTTTTGTGGTTAGGTCCTTTAGAACCAATCATCTAATGTCTTCTTAATTCCATTGGGTGCAGGTAACAAAAGTTTGGCATAATTTCGTTGTGTTCGGATTTTATTCCATCTTGTGCTGATTTGTTTTGTTTAGGTTGTAGTTTTTGTGCTCCTTTGTTATGTATAGTTTGCCTCTGGAACTTGACATTTCACTGTTCAATTTGTAGTAAGATTTGTTGTTCAAACTTTTGTTCATGTTAGGTGACATTAGGGGTGTTCACGGTCCGGTTTTA